GAAAGAGTTGAAATTTTTAGAGTACATAAGGAAAGAGAAATTTGATCCTCACAAGACAGAGTGAAAGCAAAAGGGACAAAGGAAAACAACATGTAACCTACCTAACAAGCTTGAGTAAATGAACAGCGAGAGATAAGAAAAGAACAAAATTTATTAAGACCTACAAAGGCGAGTAAATTGCGGAGGGCCATGATCGCCAACTTCCTGAAAGGACATGGCACATAGAAAAACATATCAGAGACTAATAGGTGACATCTCCTTTGGCCAAAGAAAGGAGACTGGTATCATACCAAGTGTATGTATTAAACACACAGATATTTCACATACCAGGTCATGTTTTTTTATATAAACATGCAGGCCAAGCAGATGTATTTCCACCTGCATTCTTTAAAATAAAAATAAAAATTTAAAAAAAAAAAAAAAAAAAAAGAAAAGACTTAATTAGAAACAATAAAAACATTATCATTCAATTGAGATAGTCACAATATTTTCCCCAGATAATTTTTTCATGGAAAATTACCCTTTTCTTAACAATAATCAATTTTTTTTTCCAGAGTGGAATCCTTATACAGTAATAAACAAAATGTCTACTTCAAATTCTGAAAAGCTATTTTTGATGAAGTTTTATTTATTTATTAATCCCAAATTGACTTCACATGATTTAGGAATATGGTCAAGAATATCAAGAAACTGTTTACTCATCACACTCTGAAACAAAACTTTCAAATTACTGAAGTTTTGAACTTTTTTTTTTTTTAAATCAGTTTAAATTATGTAAAAAGAAAAAAAAAGTCAAAATTGGGGGAGGGGTATCAAATTACAATAAGACACCTAAGAAAAACTGCCCATAACATTAAAATATGAAATGAGAAATAAATTCAAATTACTTTGCATTACTAAGAGTGGAGGGTTTTTCACATTTGCAGAGACTAAAGGTAACAAAGATGTGGTTCTACAGAAAGATGATGAGAATACCATGTAGTATGTGAGTAACAAACAAGTTTTATGGATAATGGAAACAAAAAAAAAAAGGTGCTTATATTTAGAATCAGAAAAAGACAAATTTTCTAATGAGGAAAGGGAGTTTAGAGTATTTGACACTCACAGGACATGTTGAAATCAAGTGGAGCAGAGAAGGAAATGGCAAGTAGTCTACCTAATGAGCTTGTGTAAATGGATGGCAGGGACTAAGAGGGATAGTGAAAGAAACAAACCTTACTAAGAGCTACAAAGAATAGGAAGTTGTGGGCAACCATGATCATCAAAGTCCTGAAGGTACAGAGGTGTATTTATTATTGTTGATTTCAATCCAACAGGAATGATTGCAGAACACTTGCCACTCCCCTTTTATATGCAGAAATACACAAATGCATGCTGGGATTTTTTTTTCTTAACCAATAAAACAGGCCAGCTTGCAGTTTGGCATGACTCAGTCCAGATCTGCCTTGTCAAGAAGACAGAATTGCTCCATTCACTTGTCCAAACTTGTTTTGTGTGTCAATGCCAATTCTTAGTTTGTGATCTATTTATCTTTCATAAATTGTTTGTTTGCTTGATATTATTTCATTTTTTTGCCCTGTTCCTTTTTCTTGCAAACTTTGTTAATTATGTTTGTTGGACAGTTCTGTTATTTATTTTGACCATGACTACTCACTCCACAATTATTTAAAAAAAAAAAAAAAAAAAAAAAAAAAAAAAAAAAGAAATTTGTAGGCATACAGATCAACAAAAGAAACATTTATTGAATACCTTAAACATGAAGCATTTTGAACACTCAAGAGCAAAATGGAATGCAGTCAGAAATAAGCACCATATTAAAACTGTAGCAAAGTGCTTGAGAAGACAGATACTAAACTTTGATCCCAGCCAAAATGCCGAGAAGCAGTGGCAACAGCAAAAAAAAGGGCCATTTTTCAGATGCACAGTATCAAACGACAGAAACTGAGTAAGGTAATCGCCAAAAATCCAGTTGCCGTAAACAAAATAACAGTCTACTGAATTATTTTTAAATTATTATTAACAGAAATGTTCATAAGAGGAGGATTTGGCTAGTATTTATAAATCTTAAATATGACTCATAAAAATTCTTTTTACCTAAAAATAGATTTACACAAAGAGGAGCATTCAGTTGCAAAACATCCAACCAGAAAATTTAACAATCAGGTAAATACATCATCTGTTTCCCTCTATTCAAGTCTCATTCAAAATGTCTCATTTGATGATGACTACAAACATTGTTTAGACTATAAAATTAAGAGGAAATCAATCTTTTCAGTATAGCCAACATTTACCTAGCACAAGGCTCTCAAACTGAAGAATCCAAAAGGGGCCATTACATGCTGAGGTAGAGGTGCAGTAGACCAGAAGCAAGTCCATCAACAGGGTATTACCAATTGGGAGGGCATCAAGTCTTAGAGGGGGCTCTACCGGGAGAAGCAAATTTTTTCACATTACATTCACAGATGGTGGGAGGAGCAGAAATGAAGTGAGTGAGGAACATAATCCTGAACAGCTATAGTAGCAATCCTTATGCCTGATTGGCTGCTATTTACTAATCAAAATGAATGTGCATATAATATGATCGATTGATTTGTTTTTTATGGCTTATCAACTCTTTACAGGTTATTTAAAGCCAGAAAATATTTTTAGATTTTAAGAATTTTTTTTGAGATAATGATTTAGTGATACAAGTCTTACTAATTAACCCATAGCTGGAGGGGAGAAAAGATGGATTCATAACTTTCCCAAAGGTATTTGTGCCTAAGTGAATATCACAAACCCAACCAGAATTAGAAATTGGCTCTCCAATTAACAATTCCAAGTCATTATCCATTACACCACCCACACATCCAAGCTTACAGCATCTGATATTCCCAAACAATCATCCATCTAGATACTAGCCAGGCTCAATGTTGTTGGCAATTGTACAGGAACCAATGTTTCAATGTGATGTAGCTGTAAGCCATTCATATATGAAGTTGAATATATGAATACAAAATGAACAAAAATGAGTTGTTTTTTTTACTTAATTCAGACTTATATGTATTGCTAAAGAGTTCTAACACCATTATTTTAATCCCAACCAGTGTAAAATCATTTTGCACTATTTAGTTCTTGAGCAAGTGAGTGTGTTGGTATGAAAAGGGCAAGGGTCAAATTTATTCAACTCATCAAAAGTTGAGGAAAATATTGGTCATGAAAATGGTTCCCCACACTGCAAAGATAATTCACAAATCATGTATTTGAAACCACTAATCCAGAATAAAGTATAAATCCTTCTCTTTTCATAAATAGAAAAAACAAAAAAAAAAAAAATAACCATTAAAATGTTATAGTCTTTTAATATTAAAAGTTAAAAGAATATTTAAGGGGTGAGTAAAGAAGGAAATATACTTTTAAATTCAGCCACTCGATTCCTTCAATGAGTAAATTCTTGAAGGATAGTGTAATGGCTACAAAATATTTATAGATTTTTTGGGACTAGTTTCCTCATCTTTGTTGCCTTTATCACATTTTGGTTGCTGTATTCTTTGGATATTCTCTGGGTACAGCAGTAAATATGCGATGATTATAACAAAGACAAGGAAACTGGTCTAAAGAAATCAATGTATAATAGTAACAACATCTCATTTAAGAAATTCAGATAAAACTAAAAGTTCAATTTGTGATATTTTTATTTGAAATCTCACTGAAAAAACATTTTAGTATTTTACAAAAACATTTGTTTAAATACCACCTTCCATTGAATTTGCATGATACCAAGTAACTTTATATTTATAAAATTTATATTATTGACAAATGCTAATTATCACTTAATTATTATTTTTAAAGTATCATTGGTGGCATGTCACAATGACTTATTAAAAATCAACTAATTATCAATAGGCCTAAAGTTATCTGAAAAAATAATTTCATCTGATCAGTTCAAACTTGTTATATACCATACCTATGAACACTAATTGGTATATCCCAATCCTCAAATACGTTGGACACTATGGTAAGTGGGGATAATATACTGTCTAAGTAGTTCACCACTAGCAGTGGTTTACCTACTTCACGCCGCTGGCGAGTATTGTATTTTATAAAGATTGCCATTCCATTTCCAACCTCCGTTTTGGTTATTCCTCATTCAGTAACCATTTCTAGGTTACAACAATACTTAATTAAAATAACTCAGAAATCAGTGACTAATAGACTGGAACTTTTATTATTCTTCAAGTTAGAACATTTTAATGATACTGCCCTAGCAAAAATCCCACTACAATGTGCTGTTTTTGCTGAATTCCTGTAATAAATACAGAAATAATATAAATTGCATATTTACACAGCTGATTGTAACTAGAGAAACATTTTTACAGCTGAACCATTTCACAAGAAAAATGTGGTCTACAGTTATAGAAACTAAATGCAACAAATAACAGCATGTACATACGCTTTAAGATACATGCAAAAAGGTTATGAGATCTCACCTATTGACAATGAGCCCATAATTACATTCCTTAAGAGATTAATCAGTTAAGCATGTATCGTCAAAATGAACAGTTGGCTTTTGTCAATATTGGAAGAGAAATATTCCCTTCTATCTTCACATCAAATTATGTTTTCAATAAAAGAAATATAAATATTTATTTGCTCTCACAATAATAACTGCATAAATAGGCCAAGCCTATCAGTTGGATTTTATACAAACGTACAGATGTGTGAGGGAGAGTGCTGAAAAGTTTGCAACCTTATCCACTAGACAAAATCTGACCAAATAAATAAGCTACTGGACAAAAGTTAAGGAACGATGTTAATAATTTAAATAAACTTTTAATTTACATTGTTAAAAAACTCGGAGCTTTTCAACAATAAGTAAAAGTTCATTTATCATTAGGACTTTATTTTTAAGCAATATGGCAAATTCTACATGCAAAACGCTCTCTTTTGAAGAAGAAAAAAAACTCATTATCGCTAACTATCAAGAAAAAAAGTCAATTTCAGAAATTTCTAATATTGTTCATAGGTCTAAAAGTGTTGTTCATCGTGTAATTAGCAGGTATAAAACTGATAGAACATTAGATGCAAAACCCAAAACCGGCAGACCTCCAAAAACATCACAAAGAGAAGATCAAAGAATTGTTAGAATATCTACAAAAAACCGTTTTGAAACTGCTACATCAATTGCCCGTAAATTTAATGAAGATACAGATAATAAGATCTCAAGGAAAGTGGTTGCTCACAGGTTAAAAAATCAGGATTGCATGCTCATATTTCAGCTTCGAAGCCTCTCATTTCAAAGTGAAACCAAAGGGCACGCCTGGAGTATGCGAGAGAACATGTTGTTTGGACTGACGCACACTGGGATACAGTTCATTTCAGTGACGAGTCCAAGTTTACTATATTTGGTTCTGAGGACAAAACTTACGTACACCATAGAACAGGTGAAAGACTGTCTTCTCAATGTGTCAAGAAAAACATTAAGTTTGGTGGCGGCAGTGTGATGGTGTGAGGAATGATTTCATCTGCAGGAGTTGGCCCTATCATCCGCGTACATGGCAATGTCAATGCTGAGATTTACAAAAGGCTTCTTCAGCAGCATGTGGTACCAAGATTACACCATAATCTTTATGAATCTCCTATTTTCATGCAGAACAATGCACCTTTCCACAAGGCTCAGAAGCTTTATTTGAAGAAGGAATCGCCCTAATGAAGTGGCCAGTCCAGAGCCCTGACCTGAATCCAATAGAAAATGTTTGGAAGATAATTGGAGAAAGGGCTAAGAAAAGAAACCCAAAAAACCAGGATCACCTATGGAAGTTATTGAAAGACGAATGGGAGGGAATTACTGCTGATTTTTGCAAGAAATTAATTAGATCATGCGGTCGATGATGCAGAGAAGTTATTGAAAATAAGGGGATGTTTACCAAATATTAAATTTTGTTGATATTTTGTTCACAATCAAGTATTAACAAGATCATTCCTTAACTTTTGTCCAGTAGCTTATTTCCTTTGTTCTATTTAATCTTTATTTAAAAAAAAAAAAAAAAAACTATTATGTAAATTTTTGTAACTTTGTATAATATTTATGCATTACATCTTAATCTTTATTCGGTAAAAATTTCACTGCTAATCATGCATTACTTTTTAAGTAATACACATATTTATTTTATGTCTTTGTGCTTTAGGTTCCTTATATTATGGACGCTACTATATATATATATATATATATATATATATATATATATATATATATATATAAGAAAAATAAATATACGAAAAAAACAAACAAAAATCCTTATATACAATTATGCTGTTTTAATGTTAATATGTCAATGTCGGACGTTTTCTGTCTAATAAACCATCTTCAGGACATATTCATAAAATATAATTAACATTATCAATTCAACATGTTTTTCCGTATATTTTTCTTCATACTGTCGGAGATATATATATATATATATATATACACACACACAAAAAAAAAATGTGTGACGCATTTTATCAAGTACTAATGAGATTGACAGAGATGAGACACAGGAAAAATAAAGAGTAGGAGCAGTTATAAAAACAGATCAGCAAATTATAATCACAAAATTTGAAAAATGGGAGAATAAGCAGACATACACATACAATTGTTGTTCTCATCATTACTGTGAATGAATAATTCAAAGTTTACATTATTGCATGCCACTGTCAGACATTAAGATTGGAAGAAAGAAAGATGTTACTTTAAAATACCCATGTACACAACAGCTAAAATAATCTCTTTTGTTAAAATCTTAATCCAGTTTTCATTATTATTCCAAAACTTTAATCAAACTTGAGAATTCCTCAATTTTAGTTTTGTGTGACACATTGAGCTTATGACATTTCAACACAGAATTTGTGACTTCTTCAGATTTTATGTAAACACAATGTAGTTGGTGAAATTTCTTGTCTAAGAATTCAACAAACCATTTACTGGGACAACCAGCCAACACTCCCTGCCACAGTGCTACATCTATGCCAGAAATTAAAACTGGGAAAGAAAATACTGAAGCAGCAAAGAGACATAAACATCAAACAACCTTATCCCCACTTGGGGTATATTGTTACATCTGGTATTGAGACCAAGAGTTCTTGACCCTGAAGTTACCATAGAAAAACACACATGTTGTGCTACATGTACTGACTGGAACAATAAACCAATCCCCAGCATAGTGTTACAACAGAAACGTTTGCACATAGAGCGAGAAGGAATTTATGTCTACTAAATGTTTCTGTGATACATATATGTATTGGTTAATTCCCTGTTGCTTCAAATTAAGAAAGAAACAGTTTTGACAGCATAAGCGTGTCTTTCGAACTCTTGATGTACAAAGATATTTAATCACCGTTTACATATTCAAGCAAGCTTATAAATAAACTTTGGCAAGTAGAATTCTGTTAGCTTCACTAAAAGTATTAATAACTAAGTCAATTCTTGACAAGATAAAACCTCACTTGCAAGTTAATGATTGAAGCAAAGGATTGCACAAT